GTGTGTTTTTAATGTAAACTTGTGTGTGAATGAGAACTTAGTTTACTACTCACATGCTGTGACAGCCACTTTCTGTACGTGTGCTTCGGATGTGTGCTCTCAGAAAACCGTATATCAGAAGTTAAAACTCATATGGTTTAAAACGCATGATTTCAGCGCGATAAACATGATAATCAGAACCAAAACAGATGTTTTTTAGCAGGTACGAGCTGTAATGGCGCAGCTCTATTCTGGAAAAGGGGGCGGGGAGCAGCAGCTCATTTGTATTTAAAGAGACAGGCCCGAAAAACAACGTGTTTCTGCTTTCACTCAAAAAAGGCATTTTCAAAATGATATAATAAATGATCTGTGGAGTATTTTGAGCTGAAACTTCACAGACACATTCTGGGGACACCAGAGACTTGTATTACATATTGTAAAAAGGGGCATAATATGTCTCCTTTAAGTACTTCTATACCACAGCACAAAATACTAGCTTAACCAATAAAGTTAGTAATAAAACAAGAACAATTACACAAATTACAAGCATTAATGAACACAACATAACACAGTTACAAATAAAGTCAGTAACAGTAGTATTCAGGTGCAGAAATGTAAAAACTAAGTGTAAAATAACACAATAGTGCTCACTGCACAAGTTAAATATAGATTAATTAATTAAAATATTAGAGCTGTGGTGTTATTTGATTAGCAGAAGCAGGTATTTATTGGCTGCTGTCTCTTTAAGACCAAATGCACAGACATAATACTGACACACATCCGTTTTCTTTCTCAGCTGTTTACATTCACTTAAGACATAACCGACTGTTTTTAATAGAATACTTGCCAAAATGGGTATTGTATCATAACTTTGTGTGTATGTGAAAGAGGAATCAATTCGGTGTTCACGCAAAACTTGAAATAATTTTAATAAAAGTATTGAAGTCTCCCTTCTGAAAAAATAAATTAATTAAAAAAAACAAGAAAAAAAATAAAGCTGTACACCTTATGTATATCTATAATCACACTTTAACATTTTAATTAATGTTTTAAAATTTTATCAAATGAAAATATACTACTCCTTTTTACCTTCCTTGTTACCGTGTATACACACACACACACACACATACACACACACACACACACACACGGCCTGGTCCGTACGGATCATGGATCATCTACGATACGTTGCACCCCTATCTCATGTTGTTCCAAATTTTATAACTAACTTTCTTCAGTGGGACTGGGACACAAATCAGGGATCGGCATTAAGGACTGTCTAATGGCCCAGGGCCAAAAAACTTAGAGTCCTATTAATTTCATTTGCATCTTTATTTTAGTATTTACTTGTACTATTGCTTGTAACTATTGCCATTCAAAAGTTTGGAATCAGTAAGAGTTTTTTTTTTATTTTTTTTTTTACATTTCTTATGCTCATCAAGGCTGCATTTATTTGATAAAAAATACAGAAGAAAAAAACTGTAAAATTGTGAAATATTATTGCATTTAAAAGTTTTCTATTTTAATATATTTAAAAATAGAACTTATTTCTGTGATGCAAAGCTGAATTTTCATCAGCCTTTACTCCAGTCTTCAGAGTCACATGATTCTGCAGAAACATTCTAAAAAGCTGATTTATTTTCAATAGTGCTGTCAAACGATTAATTGCATCCAAAATAAAAGTACATAGTATGTGTGTGTCTACTGTGTATATTTATATATATATATATATATATATATAAGCCGCTTGCTGTGAGGCGGGTGCGACGAGCCGGCAGAGGATAGCGCAGCCTTCCTTGAACAGTTATGTTCACGATTTCTGATTTACTTAACGTATACTGCGTGGGGATTTTGTGACATTGGATCACAAAATCCAATGTGATTGGATGATGACCGGTATAGGTGATCATTCTCAAGTCATCAGCACTGCTGCTGTTGTATCAGTCAGTGGTTAGATTAGTGATGGGTGGTATACCGGTTCATACCGAATACCGGTGTTTATTTTTGTATTTGTGTATTAAAATACCGCAATACCGGTGTATGTCACTTAAACAACGTTCGGAACGCGACACTGTTTGAGAGGGGTCTATATATGTGTGTGTACTGTGCATATTTATTGTGTATATATAAATATACACACATCCATGTATATATTTAAGAAAAATATGTTACGTTTATATATTTATATATAATATAGGGTTGTAACGGTATGATATTTTCACGGTATGATAATAGTCTCAGAAAATATCACAGTATATATTAAACAATAATTCTTATCAGTAACAATGACTCTTAAAAGAACAAGAACAAGTTATTTGAGTGAA